TCCACAGTATTCAGTGAACTTTACAAAGTTTATTTATTATCTGAGCCTCATAATAATATTGTGAACTACCAGTAGGTAAATATAATGTGCATTTGCATCAGGGAAAATGTATGCTACTGTACATATAACTAGACAAGGATCTTGAGACAAGAGTCAGTGGTAAAATTCCCCAGGCCCAGATGTTGTCCTAAATAGACTCTCAGTCTTCATGTCTTAATATTAGACCATCCACTTTTTAGTCAGGCAGACCACATTCATCTTTGTAATAACAAACACGTGGCCAGATTTTCAAATAAATTACATTTGCAACTATGTACCTAAATTGTTTGTTCATGCTAAATGGATGTGCAGTTTAGCTATGCTTTTGTGTGCCTAGCCCTTTTGAAAATCTGGTGCAGATCACGCTGTGCAACAAATCAAATGGACATATTTCTTAAATGGTGACAATTTCTCAGGAAGAGTGGGAAAAATACATTCCATCTTTTTCCCCAAGCACCGGCAGGGTTGAAAATATAATCTGATAGTATTGTATCAGATATGCCATTCAGCCCTACTTCTTAGAAGAGGTAATGTGGTCTAGTGGATAGGGTAGTAAACTAAGAGTTAAGAGATCTGGACATCTGGTTTTGGCATGTTTTATGGCCCTTTTGCTTGCATCTCTCTTCTGACCCCATTTACCTGTCTCATCTATGGAGAATGGAGGCTCTCAAGGGCAGAGGAAGTCTTGAACCATGTACTTGTAAAGTGCCTAGTGCAAAGAAATCTCAACTTCAATGGCATCTCTTGATTATCAAAGGAAAAGTCACAGCATTTTCTAAATTGGAAACAACAAGGCTTCTTTCAGCATGTAAAACTACAACATTTGGAAACCCAACTACCTGTCTATATATACAAACACAGAAATTAGCTGTGTGCAAATGAATGCCTACTTAGCATTAGGGATGACGACTGGGTAACAATTTAGACTACCACCCCTGAGCTCCTACAAGTAATACAGGAGGTCATGTACTGAGCCAATTTCACCTATTTAAACCAAGGGTATTCAACCTCTGGCCCACCGGCCAAACATGGCCTACAGAGCCTTGGAATCTGATCTGCAAGGTTCCCCATGGGTAGGGGGAATTTGGTGGCAGGGGAGCAGTGTCAGTTAACACTGCCACCCCTCCCCACTGCTAAAATCCCAAGCCCTATGCCATGGGGCCATTCAAACCACAAGCCTCCCTACACACAATGAGATTGGGACCAGGCCATTCTCTCTTGCAGTTGGTTAGGTCACTCATGCATGGCTTGCTTACCCATTCATGGTTGGGTTGGGGCTGGCCCCTCCCCCTGCCCAATTTGTTTTGGGGCTGGCCTATGGCCCCTACTGCTGCCTGCCCCACATCTGGGCCATCTACCTTTCCCTCCATCTAGTGAAGGTAGGGTGGGGCTGAGAACCATGACCACTTCCTCCCATAGGACAGGGCCATGTTCCCTTCCCTCCCACCCAGCCAAATTGTGGCCAAGTGACACCCCCTTCCTCCCGTGGGATAAGGCCACACCCCTACCCCCACCTTGGGACTGGATCAGAGTTGGGTTATGCTGCCTCCCCCTCCACAGGGTTGGGTTGGGGTTGGGTGAAGACCCCATCCAGAGCATGGATGGGTTGAGACTGGGCTACCCCCTGCCCCTCTCCTTGCAGCTCTATGGGGCCTTGCCACCCCTGGCCCCAGTCACCAGATTGGGACCACCAGCCAGATCCAGCCTGTGGAGGGACTGGGCACTACCGCCCATTAGACAAAAAGGTTGAGCACCACTGATATTGCAATATTGCTCTAAATGCAATATTTTAAAACTATCATGGACTTATCTTAAATACTTGTCATACAATATTCTGGCTAAAGATATGGAATCTGAGGCAGGGAAATAAAACAGATTAAACTAATCCCAGGGACAGCTATTTAATTCAGAAATCACACATCAAGATATAGAAATATATTGCTAAACCATCAGCATCATTAAGGAATAAAAATCAGTCTCTTCACTACTCCTCATTATTTTACATACAGAACTGTACCCATAATCGTATCTATTCTGCAGTCATCATACGATGCCTAGCTTATAGTAAGCAATACTTCAGTAAGAGCTATGAAATCTCTCAACACTAAAGAGGAACCCAAGGGTTGCAAATAAATTAGTTATTGTGAAACACCACATCTTTGTTGTTAAAAAAAAACCCACCAAGAGTCTGAAAAGCTTCTATCTAGGCAGAGCTACCATTGCACCTGTCTGCAACATAACAAGGCTAGTTCTGATATCACAACTCTACATAGGCAGCATTTTCATCACTTGTGACATCTTGTTCACTGGATTAAAGGACTACTGGTAATGTGCCATGTGTCTTGATTATGTGTCTGCCAACCTTCGTTCTTGAACTTTAGAACTCCAAATGCTCCCAGTGGTTCTCTTGAAAAGCAATACATAGTTCAATATAGAGTAGCAAAGCAGGTGAAACTGGACTGGACAATAGGAGAGAATCAACTAGATATTCATAGTCATGACAGAAGGCTGAATGTCTAATAATAATTTGACTTTGTACCAAAGCAACACAAAAAGAAAAAAAAACCATGAACAAAAATAACTTGAT